CACCCCCAAATTAAATGTTTACAATTTCAGGTTTTTTAAAATATGTCTGACCTGCAGTTTCTGAACCATATGATCAGTTTTCTTTCCCCTCTAGTATTCTGTGAGTTTGTGTATCCTAAAGAGTACAATTCTCAGCTGTTCTTAGTAAAACAAAGATACATGTTTTATTTCCCTAGTCCCAGTCCCTACTGTGTTTGTGCTATTGCACGGAAGAGGTTCCCTCAACCCCAGAACTCAAGATTTTATCCTAGACCCACTAAATTGAAGCCTCTGGAACAGGAGTGTGCTGGGTTTTTAAAACAGGGTTTCTCTGTGTAGCCTGATTTTATAGTCACTCCATGCAAGTGGCACCCTGAGTCAGCTCAGCTTCAGGGTTACTTCATTCTTATTACAGTTGCGCATGTCTGAAAACAGATGGCATTTAGCTGTTCAGCTGCATTATGCTTCCTGTGCACTCCTGGTGAACAGAGATCATCTTAACTATTTTTGTATTTGTATAATTTGCTGTCACCAGATAGATACCAAATAGATACCAAATACTGAATGAGGACAATTATTGATTTTATGTCCCAAATGTCTCTTTCAGAAAAAGCCATTGCACAAAGGATCAAATGAATTTCCTTTAATGTTTTCAACAGTTTGTCAACAGTTCTGTCAATTGTTTTTAAACATAAAGGTAATTAAAACGTGTTTTCAAACAGCTAATCCGGGATTTAATTTTTTTCTTTTACCAGCCCCATTAGGTTGATTAGCCCATAACTCTTGTGACATCATTTAATTTTTTATTTCACAAACCCTTGTGTCGAGGGCTGACTTTCAGTAGATGGCAGGGAGGGAATCATTTAATCTCTCTAAGAATTTACTTGTTATTGTGTGTGTGCATGTATGACGGGAGTATACGCCATACATGCATGTGCATGCAGACGGCAGGGCACAACTCGTGTGAGTTCTCTGCTTTCATCTTGGGGTCAAACTCAGGTTGCCAGGCTGGTGTCTGTCCCAAGTGCTTTGACCTACTGAGCCGTTTCACTGGCCCAGATTGTCGTATTAAACCTACACTGAGATACGCATCTACTGTGTGTGGCAGGGTTAATGAAGGCCAAGAGTAAAGTGGGTTGCAAAGACTCTTGACAATCATGATTTTAGAATTCCAGTTTCCCGGCAGCCCTCCTGGGCCTGGGGTGAATGGTGGGTTATTTATGGGCATATGTAACGGCGCTCCGCCCACACATGAGGGTGACTGAGTTGCCATTCCAACACATTGCATATTTTCTAGAACTTCGTATTTATCAGAATAAGAACTATTCGTGAAATTTAAGAACTCCGCAAAATTCTTATTTAATGTAAAGCACCTGGAAAGCAGCCGTCCCAGGCACCGGAAGCAGCAAGGTGCAGCACACCTGGGAAGTGGGAGTCCCAGCCACCAGAAGCAGCGGGGTGCAGAACATCAGGCTGTAGATGACAATGCAGGTGCCATGGCCACTGCAGAGACCACACTAACGGTAGCAATCACGGAGGAGATGTGGCGTATGCTTTATAGCCTCAATAGACAGGAAGTGTGGAAAGAGAACTTGAAGCAGAAATATCAGCAGTCATCGTAGTGGAGATCCCAGCTGGCAGAGGCGGACTTAAGAAGCTAGGGCAGGTCCTTTACTGCCAGGGGAGCCAAACTCGGGATGTGCTCCAGGGGTGGGCTGCTTAGGTATTGCCAGGACCGCCTTTACAGTGCTGTCGGTTAGATTTGGAATGTCCTCCAGGGGCGCACGGGTTAAAGGCTTGGTCCTAAGCTGATGTTACTGGGAGGGGGTGGGACCATTGTGGGCACAGCTTCATAGGTCTTTAAGTCACTGGAGGACACAGACTCTGAACTCTGTCTTCTCACCGATCCTGGCCATGAGCTAAGCAGCTGTGCTACCTATGCCTGCCACAGGCTCAAAGCAAAAAGGACACTTGACTACTGAGTTGAACCTCTAACTGAATCAAAACAACCCCTTTCTCTTTATAAATGACCTCGGGTGTTTCATTACAGTGAATGCAAAGTAACACATCAGAGGGAATGACTCAGCTGGCTGGGGGCGGGGGCTGTCAGCTTTTGTCCTACTTTAAGGAGGGACCCAGGGGTAGACACATCTTCAAGCTTGTCCAATATGCACACATGACTAAACATCCTACTCTCAGAACATTTTCAACTCTGTTTTTTTATAAAAATGGAAGCAACAATCTGCTCATGATTTAAAAATATGGAAGCCCTTATGTATGATACAATATAAAAGGGCCTCTTTATTGCTCAGATGTCCAAAACACAAAATGGTCTGTTGATGTGTGATTTCCCTGTGTCTTTCTAATAGTATTAACAAGCAAAAATAAAGAAATACTACAATAACAGCCTATTGGGATATAAAACAAGACAAAGCTGGCTTAAAATAGAACCTTCAAGAGCCACAGACAGAAACAGAAATCCCAAGATGGACAGAAACCCAAGTAGGCTGCAAGAGCTTTTCCAGGTAGATCAGATCCAAGTTAGGAGCAAGGTGGAGGCCAAGGACAGCCACTCAGAATTCAGAATATTATCTGAAAGTATTTGATTTCAGATGCACTCACTGTTTACAAAATATTTGTTACTCTATTGTGCTAAAACTTGGTTTTGAGTCCTCACTTTTGAACATACCAATTTTTGTAACACCAACAAAATCTTCACAAGTTTGGCATAAGTCCATCATCATGATAGCAAGACTGAAGCTAAGCATAAACTAGGAGACCAATTTAGGAGACTCTGAAACAGGCTCTGCTACTCTGACTCCAATCTAGTCCCAACAGAAAAGAAGTCACACAAACTCCAGTCTGGAAACTGCCCAAGAATCCCCACCATGTTCTATAATGAGGTAGATATCTCTATTAGGCATTTGTACCTTCATTCAGATAGTATTTATGTTATTGGAATGTTGTGGTTAGGAAAAAAATGTGCGACCTTAAGCTAATTGCTTAAAAGTAAAACCTAAAGTATGTATATATATACAAACTTGGCTACCAAGATTCCACTGATGGGAGTGATGGAAGCACCCAAGGACCATCAAAAGCAATTTGGTCAGTTCTTCTCAACCACATGTCCCTTCTTGTTCTTAACCTATGGACTTTCAGAAGTCTTATGTTAATAAAGATATGTCTGGATCCCATAATATTAAAACAGTAAACAGAACATAATGGATCAAACAAAAACTCAAAGACTAATTCAAATAAATTAAGAAATATATTTATATTGAAAAATGATAAAGATAGGCATCCTGAGATTTTTTTTTCAACTATAAAAAGAATGTAGGGCTTATCAATCTAAAAGGCTGTCATGATTAAATAATAAACAAAGAACACATAAAGTTCTAAAGAGCAATACAAAGTAAGTGCTTGACAAATGGTAGCTACTAGTACCGTCAGGGTAAAGAGTAAGCTGTAAGGAGAACTTCAGAACTGGACTGGTTACCTCCTCCCTCCAACTTCAGTTTGAACACATGAATAAGGCCATTCTTCTGACGAGATCTCCCAAGAACAACAAAACTGGTATATAGAAACCAATGGAATTAAAAGTTCCCTGAGGAGGCAAATGGCTAGCAAGAACATTTTTGTCATCTTAAAGCAGCATTAAAAAGGCAAAGGCTCACTCATAGGACATAAAAATTAAAACTAAAGAGAATCTTAAAATTTAAAAGAACTGTCAATGACACAGTCCTGATGAGAAGTAAAATATGTAAAGTGAAAGAATCTTTGCTAGATTGCTACTTATCTGATGTGCACACATGGTGGTACACACCTATAATCACAGTACTCAGGAGGCTAAGGCAGGAGGATCATTTAGTACCAGGCCAGCCTGGGATATATAGAGACCCTGCCTCAGAAAAGGAAAGAAAGAAGAGAGTTGAGGACTTGCCTAACTGCAGAGTCAATATACTTATCTTCACCTTGGCTTTTCCCTAGGACCATCTTTCTTTTTTTTTTTTTTTTTTTTTTTTTTTTTTTTTTTTTTTTGTAAAGCATTTCATCCCTTTCTGTTCCCAGTATGGAATTTATTTTCAAAGAAATCTATTTTTATTCTTTAAGTTTAGACTTCTCTCTCTCTCTCTCTCTCTCTCTCTCTCTCTCTCTCTCTCTCTCTCTCTCTTCTAACTCTACAAATAAAAGGCTTTGGCAAAATGAAAAGGAAATGAGCCAGGTCTGGAGGTACACACCTTTAAACCTAGCACTTTGAGGAGATAGAGGCAGGAGAAATCAGGAGTTCAAGGCTAGCCTTGGCTACCTAAAAAATTGGGCTCAAGAGACTTGCCTTACTCCCAAAAGGAAGAGATCAAGCTACTACTTGAGCCCTGGGAACAATCCCAGGCAGGCCCCTCATGGTTTCCTATGGAAGAGTCCAGGGATCAGGGAGGAGCTAATGAACACTGGCTCTTCATGCAATTGAG